AGATCTGAACCCAAGGCCAGGGAGGAAAGGCTGCATGGGGAAGCAGGGCTTGCCCGGGTGTGACCAGGGCCACGCTGACTGGTGCCAGAGACGCTGACTGGTGCTGGATGCAGGCCCTGCTCCTCTGCCCGCCCAGGGCAGTCTGCTCTCCCTCAGGCTCCTGTCCCACCTCTCGCTCCCCAGGGTGTCAGCCTGCATGGCTGTGAGCATCAGAACCTCCGGGTCACACGGATGGGCAGGAATGCTGGGGATGGGCCAGGCTGGTCTGCAGGCAAGGGCGGTGCTGTGCAACATCAACCTGGCCGGGCCTGCATGGGGAGGGGAAGGGTCCTACCTCCACGGGTCCCAGCTGATGTTTGCGCTGGGCCTGGGCCTTCACCTCAGTTTACATGTTGCAGAAGGACTGACTGCTCCCCTTCCAGTCTCCCTCGCCCACAAGAGCAGCCGGAGGCTGGGGCACGGGTGCGGCAGTTCCCTCGGTCACACACGCGCGCACACACACGTATGCATGCATGTGTACGCAGCTGTCTCCTGTCAGCCTAGGCATGAGAAAGAAATCACTTCTTTTTCTGAGAGGAGTTAGGCAGACTTCAATGTCTGGGTGTCAGGATTGGCTTAGGTCAGACCTGCGGCGAGCATGGGCCACGGGTCACCCAGAGCCAGGCAACAATGGAGGAACCAAAGCCAAGGGACAGGTCCTGTGGGGGACCCCAGCCAGGGGCCAACTCTAGGCTGCCCTGCTGCCACGCCCCTGCTGCCTCACCAGTCTCCCAGAGCAGGGGAGGTGACCAGCAAGGGTGCGCACCCAGGGAAGGGCCAGCTGTGTGGCTGGTCAGCGTGTGTGCAGGGCCGGGTCTGCGCACCGCAACCTGACTGTGAGAGAGAAGGACGCCTGAAGGAGCGTCCTGAGCAGGTCTGGTCCCTGGACGAGGGATGTGCGACTCAGACAGGCAGGGCGGAAGAGGGGGCTCCAGCTGCCACCTACGAGCATCACTCTGGCAGGGTGGCGGCCTGCTGGGACAAGGCAGCGAAGAGGGACACAGCTGGGCACAGGACAGATCAGTGTCAGAACCCCAGCCTGTCCCGCCCTGTGCAGAAGTGGGGACACCAGACCCCAAGTGCCCAACAGCTAGTCCAGTCAGCAGGGGCTCCCCAAGGTGGGCTCCGGTCCCCACTCATACCTCCACCCAGCAGGACAGAGCCAAGGAACCAGAGGTTGCTTTGTTAAAAATATTTCATTAAAAACCAGCCCTGAGCACAAAGAGCACATCCAGGAGACACCCCAACATCCTCTGCTCCCGAAGCAGCACTCAGGGCCAGATTCCTGAGCCGCATGGTGCCCAGGTGAAGTGCGAGGTGCTGGCCTGTCCTGCCCAGGGCACCCTGGTGAAGGCCACCGAGGAGGCCCAGACCACAGGATGGGGCCTAGAGCACCATGTCCCATGGGAGAAGGCCATGCCAGCCCAAGTTGCTGACAGCTGCTCTGGTGGACACTGAGGGGACCTGGGGCCTGCAGGCCTTCACTCCCCACAGGCAGGGCGGGTCCAGGACACCTGGCCTCCAGGCTCCTGCCCAGGTCCCCTTCCAGGCTGCAAAGCCATGCTGAGTGACCCCAGTGGCCTCCCAGGCCTGCCTTCTTGTGCCAGCCAGCACACAGGATGCCTCCCTGGGCCCTCGAAGTTCAACCCGCGCCCGGAGCCATGCATTGGTGAGCAAGGCTCCTACCGCTCCCCTCCACACCCTGCCGGACCAGAAAGTGCAGGTGACAGTTCTCACGGTGACTTCCCCTCTATTCCGAGCTGGAGACAGAAGGACAGTGCGGCCTGGGCCTGGGCTTCCACCAGTGCCCTGGGAATGGAGGTCCTGGCAGGACGTGGCAGGCCCCACGGAAGGGTGTGTAGTACACGCTCAGAAGAGGCTGGGGGAGGCCTGGGCAGGTGCATCGTGGTCCCGGATATACTGCAAGATGTCCATCTCGTCCATTGCTTGGATCTGCTGCTGCTGCTTCTGCTGTGTGAGCGAGGCTTCCGATGGGCCTGCTCTGGGGGGCACAGTTGGCTTTCTGGGCAGTGCAGGCTTCTCTGCCACAGGTGGCTTTGGCTTTGGCTGGGGCTTTGGTTTCAGCTGAGCCCCTAGGTTCAGAATCTGGTCCAAGTCCTCTTCAACTCTAAGGCACCAAAGGGAACAACCCTGAATATAACTGTCCCCTGCAACAGCAGCAAGGCCCCACGCAGTGCCTCTCCTCGTCCGACCCAGCCTGGAGATCAGAAGGGCATGGCTCTGTCCCCCTTCTGCCACAGCACGACAGCCCTAGGGGGCCTCCTGAGCACTGCTCTGCAGGGGACGTCCCTCTAGCCTGTGGGAGTAATGGCCCGAGTCGGGTGGGGTCTGCCTGCCCCTGTGGGTAGCATGGAGCCTGAGGCTGCAGTGGCCTCACCAGGACCCACCAGTGTACACTCACAGCCAGGCCCTCTGACTGTCCACCAGCAGGCGGAGGATGGGGATGCTGATGGGAGCGCAAGGCCTGTGGAGCAGCTGCCAGGATGAGACCGGAGAGCACTCACTCAGCTCCCTCCTGCCCACCGCTCAGCTCTGGGCCAGGCGTTTCGAATCGTCAGTGGCAGCAGACGCTAGCTCCACTTAGCATGGAGAAAAGGAGGCCCAGAGAGGTGAAGGGCCCCGCCTCGGGCTCCACAGCGGGCGGGAGGTGAAAGGGCACCGACCCAGGTGTGGCAGGCTCTCTAGGTGTTCACACTGCGGGGCACCTGCATACAGGCCTGGCACGGACGGTGGAGGGAAAGAGGGACTCGGGAGGGTCTGGAGCTAAAGGAGCAGCCCTGACGCCAGCTGGGCCATGGAGAGAGCAGACGGGAGGACAATGGTCTGGCACCTGGCACAGGCCTGTGGGGTGTAAAGGTGCCACCTGCTAGGACCAGCTGCTGACGGCACCGGCCCACCCTGCCTGCTCCTGGGGTCTGCGCCTGCCTGTGGCAGGGATCCCCGGACAGACTGAGGGAACAAAAGGCGTCCCCCCGCCAGGCCAGGCCAGGGGGCCCAGCCCGAGCCAGCCTCCAGAGTGGCAGCCTTGGTCCAGGGAGACTTAGGGGTGTCACTCATGGCAGCCCCAGCTCCCCGCACTCAGCAGCCCTTCCACAAGTCTTCCAGGGCACTGCTGGCTCCCCAGCCTCCTCCAGAGGGCTGAGTGAGGGCGCCCCTGAAAAGCTCAGGGGCCTGTGGGAAAATAAAGCAGCAGCGAAAGCCTGTGCCCGACTTCAGCTTACATCACTGGAGCCAGGCAGCAGTGGACGGCCTATGGGGCGGGAGGTGTGCACGGGGGCCAGCCATGGTGGAGGCGCTCAGGTCCCGACAGAGGTGGCTGCACAGCTGCCCCTTCCCGAGCTCCCTGCCTTTATCTGTGCCCCCCAAGTCACCCTTCCCTTCTAGGCCGGCTGGTGTGAGGTCTACAAGTGTGGGCTGAGGGAGTCCTGAGTCCCAGAGGACCGAGCTCAGCTGGGCATGGGAGGGACAGAGGCCTCTCGGCTGCCACCCAGTTTAGGGCCACCCTGCCCTGCCTGCCTCAGGATGGCCAATGAACGGAGGGGTGAAGGCACGGATGAACGGACGGGTTTGAGGGAATGCTTCTCTGGTGAGGAAGCCGACTGTGCTTGCAGGATCGGCAGGCTGGAGGAGGATGGAACGCGGTTCCTCTCTCAGGAAGCTAGGCCTTCGCTCCCACATGCTGCTGAGGTGAAGGCAGGGATGCAGGGACTCCCTGGAGCTCTGCAGGTGCTAGGAGCTGTTCAAAGGCGGGGTCCCGGTGACTGGCAGGAGCGTGAAATGCGCTGCCCTGCCAGGCCTGCAGAAAGCCTCCCCAGCTCCCCGGCCACAGAACCCTAGAGGGAGCCGTGTAACTGTGGACCAGGCTCTACACACGCGGCTGGTCAGCACCGACTGAGAAAGATGCCAGAGCTCCCGAAGAACCTCCCGCAGACGCGCTCGGCCTGGCCCTGCTGCTCCCCAGGGCTGACTCTAGAATCCGCCCTCCTGGGTCTCAGTTTCTGCCCTAATGAAACGATCGCAGTCAGCCGAGGAACAGGATCAGAAGGAACAGATGCCACGGACCTTTGGGAAATGTAAATACCAGGAGCGATCACTGTGATTCAGGCTTCACGGGCACTTAAGAGTCTGACAACCCAGGCTGCTGACAGAGACAACAGCCTCCCGGGGCCACGCACTTCCTGGAACAGGCAGCCGCTTCCTGTAAGCTGCCAAGCACACCCAGGACTGTGTCGGGCAGACTTGCAGGGAGAACCCTTGGCCAGGGTAGGGAAGCAGATTTCCTGGAGCATGGAGAGGCCAGGAGAGGCAGGCAGGGCTCTAGCATGCGCAAGGGGCCTCTCCCTCTCCCAGCTTTTCTTTTTTTTTTTTTTGTACTGGTGATCAAACTCAAGACCCTGTGCTTGTGAGGCAGGCGCGGTGCCACTGAGCTAAATCCAGCTTTCTGTAACTCGGAAGAGCACACACTCGGCCTTGAGAACAGTGATGAGAAGCAAGATGAAATAAAGCATCCTGCGCCGCCGGACACAGCACTCAGGAGAGGCTGGCATTTTGGCACAAGCCCTACTGTTGACCCGCTGGGAAGGGCAGGCCTGGCTCCCCCTGGGAGGGGACGCTCCTGGCAGACAGGCCACAGCCTACCACATCTGCGCTTTGCCCTTCTACCCGAGCAGCTCGCTACCTAGGATTAAAGCCCTGTGTACCACTTATACTTGCTCCTGAACCACTGAATTAAGATTCTTTACAGAAATTACTAAAACATGAGCATGGAAAGAAAAGGCCTGGCTATACGCATGAAGCTGTTGTTTTGGAGCCCACTGAGCTGCCCTGGCTGCGGCCCCTCCCCCAAGCCCGTCACTGCCTCTTGGCCACAGAAGCCACAGTCTTCCATCTTTCTGGGGGCCTTGGCTGCGGACACTCAGCAAGCCACGGGGGACGTGTACCTGAACAGCTCGTGGGAGGCCCCTCTGTGATCCAGGCTGGACGTGAGCCCTCCATGTCCACAGGCGGCTGGCAGCAGCAAGGGGTCGCCCAGCGGGACGGCCCCACCGAGGTCAGGGTCATCAAACAGCTTCAGGGCTGTGGGACGGAAGGAACAAGGTGGTCGGAGAAGCCCTGGCCTGTGCCCAGCCGCCGGGGTGCTGGGCAGGTGCACCCAGAGAGAGGGAACTGGGGGACAGGAGGAAAAACTGGGGCCCTGTCTGCTCCAGCCTCACTCCAGTGCCCAGTTCTTTTGAGCTTCTCATTGCTTCACGGGGAAATGGCCTCTCTGCTCACTGTGCTGGGCGCCCAGCTCGCCCCACGGCTGCACACCTTCCACTACGCAGGCGCTGAGCGCTGCCCACCAGCGGGGCTTCCACCGCAGGTGCCGGGAGGGACGCTGTGCCAACGGCTGCCCTCACCTGCAGCACCGCCCCCTTTTCCACCCGAGCTGCATGGGCCTGGCCTCCCTGGCAGCCATTCCCCTGCAGGCCTGACTCGTGCAGGCAGCCTTCCAGCTTCCAGGACTCAGCTCCGCACAGCCCCACCCCGTCAGCACACGCAGAGGACAGCGCCTGTCCCTCCGGGTCCTGCTGTTCCTGGGCCTGATGACCTGGTGTGCAGGCACAGCCTCCCAGGCCTGGAGGAGCAGGTACACAGGTACAGGACGGATCAGACCACAGCAGGGCGGGGGTGCTTCCTAAGGCTGCTCACTTCCCTCGCCAACTCTGTGCAGGGCCCTCCAGGGGCCAAGCCCACGGCAACGCAAGTCAGCATTCAAATCCTATCGAGTTGGAGTCAGACGCATGCTGAACGTAGGCCAGGACTTCTGGGTGTCAGTGTAATAAAGAAAGCCGCCCCTGCTCCAGAGGACGCTTAGAATAGGCTGTTCCCAGCTGCAGGGCTGTCAGGGCCAGGCTGTTTTTCTCCAGCTGAGTCTGTGCTGAGTGAACAGGGCTGGGATCACCTGCATTCCACTCACGCACACTCAGGACAGGCAGCCACAGAGCAGGGCTCCACTTACTGCCAACGGGGGGCGCACCCTTGGAGGGACTCATTGGGGACAGCTTCCTGCCTGGGCCAAAGAGCTCTCCGTCAGGGTCCTCCTCCTCATCAAAGATGGTGAGCTGGGGTGCGGGCTTGGCCTTCACAGCCACCTTAGGGCATTGCTTGGGCTTCTTGGAGCTGGAGACAAAACACAAACACACGAGGTGAAGATTCCCTTGAAAGGCCAGGTGTCCAGGGGCACAGCCGGTGCTAGGCCTCGGTGGGAGCGCAACAGAAGTAGCCTCAGATCCCTGGCAGGCAGGTCTTCCTGCCCAGGGGAGACAGGCAGGCCCCAGGGAAGTGTGAGGAGACAGGTCCGAGCTTGGGCTCGAGGGCCTTTCCCAGATCTGACAGCAGAGCGGGAACTGCACTGAAGTGATCATCAGTGTGCCTGGGGGATGACAAGAGAGGCCCCAAAGGCCAGACTGCTCCCCGCCTGCAGGCCCACGCAGGCCTCGGCCACAGTGTGCCCACAGGCCAGAGAACACGCCCTCCTTGGCCTCTGCACTTGGGGGCCTGGTCTCAGAGCATCATGCTCTGCAGCCACAGCCTGAGCCCTGAGTGCGGGGTGCAGGAGAGAGCAGAAAGCAGCTGTGTGGTGGGGCCACTGCCTTTCCAGGGTCCCTGGGGCAGCCTACACTTTCCAGGGCTCAGGACCCCAGCTAGCTCTGTTACCCTTAGGTCCTGTTACCCCTGTGTGCTAATGGGTCAGAGGAGGCCCTCTCCAGGGCCGGCGAGCAGCAGGAAAGTAGGAGGCTGTGCCTGGCTCTTCCGCCCTTCAGGGTGATCACTGTAAGTGCTATTGCCGCTAACCAAACACTGGGTTTCCTGACAAGCTGATGTACCCCTGGGGCTGCTGTCCACGTTAGCCTTTTTAGACTTGCTGCAGACTGCTTATCCCCAGAGACTGGGCTGGCATGGGCTTGTCTGCCCGGCAGGCTGTCCCCCTGGACCAAGGTCACCGATCAGGCTCACACAGGTGACACTGCCCAAACCGCAGAGGACGGCAGCGCCCCGAACAGTGACATGGGCTGACCAGCAGCGGTGGGGCGTGCCGAGGCCGCATTCCCAAGGTCTTGTGTCAGCTGCGTGGGTGAAGTGCAGCTTGGTTGGCAACTGCAGCTGGGATGAAGAGAAGCAACAGAGGCAGAGGCCATAGCACAGAGCAGCATTTGGGTGCTCAGGGGCCAAGTCCTGGTAGAGTCTCGGGCTGGGCTCGTGTGACAACCCAGAAATTGTCGGCAACAGCCTTGAGGCAGGAGGGGCGACAGTGAGTGTGGTCACTGCTCAGGGTCCACTGCCCGGCCCCTCTGCCCGGCCAGGAGCAGGGAGTGGGTGTGGGTGATGGGACACTGTGGCATGTTCCGAGGTGCTGACAGGTGCAGAGACCTGCCCGCAGGGCCAGGGAGCCACACCTCGTCCCCGCTTTCTCCAGTGGGGTCAGGCCAGCAGGGCCACACTGTGCTCGCTGTGCTCAGGGCTGGTCTGGGGCTGGAGCTTATCGGAAGTGCTTTCCAGAGAATTCAGCCTGGCTCCTCCCACACCCTGCGGCTGGTGCTCAGCTGCTCTCACCTGTCCCTGCCTCCAGGTCTGGCCAGGCAGCTCTAGGAGGAAGCCACCCTCCGCCCTTCACACTCCCCACCGCCCCACTTAGAACAAGGAGGCTCCTGGGAACCAAGCCTCCATCCTGCCAGCCAGCAGGCCCCATGGGGCAAGGGAGCGAGCGTCCCAGCGGCCACCACGGAAGTAGCACCAAGGGGACAGCGGGAGGAAGGGAGGTGCCAGTGCCAGAGAACAACGAAGCTTTGTTCAGGAAGAGTTGTGGGCCTCAGCAATTTCCCCTCATGCTTGCTTCTAGCCTTAACACCAATGACGCCAGACGCTCTTCCTACGTTTCCCTCCCAGAACAGCCTGACGCCACGCCCTTTTCACTCCAGACATTTGTTGCCTTTGGCTGAACTGAAGTAAGGTGAGTACGTGGCCGTGGGGTGCTCAGTCAGCACTGTCTGCACTCGGACCCCTCTCCACACCATCCAGGGGAGACAAAGGACAGCAGGAAACACGGAGTGTGTGGGTCCCGTCTTCAGGCAATGAGGAGAGACGGGTTCCCCGCACCAGCCTCTGTGCCCTGCATTCCTTTGGCTCCTCTTCCAGAGACCTCTCCACATGGCTGGTCTCCCACCTGGTCCAGTCCTTGAGTGTCCATTCGCCCCTAAGAGCTCACCAAGGGCTTCCCGTGCACAAGCACCTGTGCAGCGATGCCAACAGACAGGGGTCAGACCCGCCACTGTCCCCACAGCTCAGGGCCAGGCGCAGTCAGACGAGTGGCCAGCCCCATCCTCACAGCCCCAGCACTGGAGCCAACTGGCCTGAGGGATGGGAGAGGCTTCCCGGAGGGAGGGAGGCAACCCAGAGGGGATGGGGGGGCATCCCAGGCTGAGGAACTCCGAGCCACTCAGTGAGGCCTAAAGGAACCTGCACCTGCAGGACCAGAAGAAAAGGTCTGCGGGTGACAAGAACCCTCAGGCTCCAGGCAGGGGTGAGCTGGGGCAGGAGCCCAGCTCCTCACAGACCTTCGAGACTGGCCAGGCCCGGCCCTGGAGTGGAGGTGTGAGGGCAGGGGCCAGGAGCGCATGGGAGGGAGCTGTCCAGGACACTCCGGCTCTGTCCTGCTCCCCACGCTCCTGTTCTTGGCTCCTTCACCACGTCCTCCCCGCTGTCTGCCAACACACAGCTGGCCTCTGCCATGCCCACCTGGCACCAACAGGAGAGAAGCTCCTCCATGCTATGACCAAGGGACCCACGCGGGCTGCAGGAGGCAGGCGGGGCTCCTGGCAGCGTGGCCCGTGTGAGCATGCTCGTGCCGCTGCCGCAGACCCGGCTCCTGCTGCGGGCCTGACAGGAGACAGATGTACAGACCCGGCCGGCAGCTACCAGGGCTGACAGCTCCCGGCTCTGAACAGCCAGGAAGCATCCGCTTCCTGGGGCTCAGCCCCTCCTAGTGACAGTGACTGACACAGGAGCCCAGCTTCCCTCTGGCTGCCCTGCGGCCTGTGGCGAAGTTCCAGATCCACCCGCCCAGCACAGCTCTAGCAGTGGGCACCAGTGCCCAGGCTGGGAGTGCGAGGCTTGGCAGAGCTGTCTCCCAGATGCAGCCGGCTCGCCTGGGTCTGAGCAGGGGCAGCAGGTCTTCCCACGGCAAGACACAGACTGCCACCTTCAAAGCCAGGGTGGAAATCAACCTTTCCTCCCCACGATGCGACCTTCCTGCTTTGAAACACAGCACTTCTCATGTTTTACCTCAAGTTCGGCTGCTTTTCCAATTAGACAGTTTCCGCTTGAACTACAAGGAGTGACTCTGGGGCCGGGCCACTCGCAGTGGTGCCCATGTGGGGCTTCCCTGGAGAGCAGGACGGGGGCTCTGGAGAAGGGCTGGACGGAGGGAGCAGAGGCACGAAAGCTGGGCTCCAGGCAGATGCCACAGGCCTGACCTGGCCCAGGCCAAGCGTCCGGCAGCTGGGTGGCAGGTGCCTGGAGGGAGGAGGCCGCAGCAGACGTGGGTGGAAGCTGGCACACCCTGAGGGGCTGGGGCTCTGGCTTTGCCAAGGGCCCAGCAGCAGAGGACACAAAGGACCCACATGCCGGCAGGTCCCTCCCTCCCCTGCTGAGCGGCAGAGGCGCACACAGAGCCACGTGGTTGTGCAGGTGAAAACAAGGGCGGGCAGTGCCACAGCCCAGCACAGGTGCAGTGCAGTGGGGCCAGGCCCGCGTCACGGCCTCCCAGACCTCAGGCCGGGCCTCAGCAAGAAAGGGGCCATGTGGGGAGTGGCCCGGGCCCCACGGACACCATCACGCGGCCAGTTCACCCTCCCGGGAGCCAGCCGACTCTCCTGGCCTGCTGTGTCCGGCCCATGCTGGGGCCAGGACTTCAGCAGGGCAGACTGAGACTGCCTTGTTATTCCTACCTGGGTGGTCTCCGCTCACATCTCCCGATACAGCACCAGGCAGGACGCCGGCCCAGCTCCTGGCCGCGCTCACTAAGGTGCCAGCACCCACACTGCGGGCAGGAGCTCCAGGCCGGCACAAGGAGGGGTCTTGGGATGCAGGCGCCCAGCTGCTGCTGCTTGTGTGGCTCTGCAGGGCCCTTGGTGTGAACTAAAGACTGCATTTCACCGCACAGGTTAAGGACTCGTGTGGCTGCGGACTCAGGGCGGCCCTGGCAGGAGAATGGCGTCTGCCCACGGTACCACCGCCGAGCGGCCTGAGCTTGAACCCATCCAGGACTGGCCTGGAGAGGCTTCCCCAAGACAGGCGCTGAGGAGGCGACCTGTGCCGTGGGCTCTCAGGTGCAGCCACAGGAGTAGAAACAGAAGCATGTGGCACAGGTGCTGCTGCCTGATGACGTAGGGCAAGCAAGCACCGCCTCCACGCTTCAGCTGCCGCGCAGACACAGCCCTCTTAGAACGGCACCACGTTTACCAAGAATGGAACTCCCGGGCCTGGACTTCACACGGCTTTCCAAGGGAAGAAAGAAATCAGTTCTGTGCCAGTGCCGCCAAGTTCCCACCCTCCATGTGGCTGGGACTACCACCCTCTGCCTCCAGCCTGCCCTGGGGCAACCGCTTGTCCTGGGAACGTCCTGGGGCCTCAACCTCGCTCAGAGGGGCCCAGCCTTCTGCACGCTGCCTCGGGAGGCTGAAGCAGGAGCGTCCCCTGCTCTGCCTCTGATGAGGGGACTGTGCTGTGTCGTACACGTCAGAGCCCCAGGTGAGATTTCCCCCAAACCAAGTATCTTGCTACCGCAGTCAGAGCGGAAAGCACTGCTGTACCTGTGTCCTCGGAGCCCTTCCCTCAGGCCGGTCCAGAGGCACTGAGCAGCACACAGGCGGGGCGGGCCGCGGAGGCTCCTCACCGCTGTGGGCCAGCCCAGGCCGCCTCCTGGTAACTGACCAAGGGCTCTGCCGCAGCAGGGTCAGGCTAAAGGAAAGCCTCAGAAGGGGGCAGGAGGAGAGGGGCAGTCAGGAGGGGCTGCCCCGCGCTCGCTCACTTGCTCCCAGACTTCCGCAGAGCTCGGTTTCCGGGCCTCTGCAGCACGTGGCTGCGGACTCCCCTCAAGAGCCTGCTGTGGGCCTGGAAGCCTGCACCTCACCTAGCACAAGGCTGCTGCAGAGTCCAGAGTCCCTGGCTGGTGTCTGCTGCTCTCCCTGCTGGCAGCCGGGGTGGTAACCTCCACGCCCAGGAGCGAAACCAGGGATTCTGTGGGCAGCATCGTGGGAGGCTGTGCCGTACCCAGAGCGCCGTCTGGTCTGCCCAGGGGGACAGCCCAACCCTACATGCTGGGCACACAGGTGGGGACACCTGCAGTGTGCCAGGGCATTCAAACCCTCAGCATCACCCCAGCACAGGCAGGGCTTCCAGGTATGGCAAGCAAGGTATTATTTTCCACAGTTACTTTACGGAAAATGAAGCAAAATCTACATTAAAAAATCACAGGAAAGAAACACAGCTGTACTGCAGGAGGCCACGGCATGGGGCCCCCGAGTCCTGGGGTCTGACAGCAGGCAGCGGCGCGCAGGAGAAAGTGGGCTCCCCTCAGGGGTTCAGCTTCAGCTCTGGGGACCTGGCTCTGGGGTCAAGAGAATGAAAGCTCTGTACGTATAGAAGTTCCCCAAGTTACTGCCTTTCATAGGGAAGGCCCCAGAAGACGCTGCCATGTCGGCAAACCGGGGTGCTGCTATGAACAGTGCGTCAGCCTGGGACCGTTGCAGCGTCACTGGCAAAGTGTTCACAGACCCGCAAAGACGGCACGCATGCCAAGAAAGCGAGTCTCGGAATGGCGCGGGCACCGGCCCGGCTGGGAACAAGGTGCGGACACTCCAAGTGCACACGTCCATCCGTGGGGAAGGACTTTCTCGCGGGATTTCAGTCTCTGCTTGCTGTGTTATTTGCATCGCATGAAACTGTGGCACAGTATCTCGGCAGAAGGCTGAAGTCACGGTAGAACTTCAATGTTCTCAGAACCACAAAGACACAAGAATTGTGCTACAGATGAAAACCGTGCACAACATGGAGAGAGCGAGTGGAGGGCACCTGCCTGCAGCTGTGTGGGTCGGGTGGGACGGGAGCCAGCGGCAGGGGCTTCTCTGGCTTTCTCTGTTCTCTAATGGCATAATAATGTCCTTCCCTCAGTCACAGGCAGGTTGAAAAGACAAAGAAAAGCCAGGCCAGTAGGGCTCTCAGCTTTGCCCCAGCGACGTCCGCCCACCCTGCCAGGCACTGGCAATGGAGCCACAGCGCCCCCCCATGGCCACGGCGGGAAGGACTGTGGCCATCATGCACTCACTGCTTTTTCGGCAAAGCAGGTCATGCCTGCTGCCCTACAGGGGTACCCAGCGGGGAGAGATCATGTAAATCATCAGCCGCATGTGCAGAAGTGTCCACAGGGCCCTCACCGAGGAAACCTGGCCTCTCTCACTGTCTAGGACAGTCTTTGGACCCTGACCACCACCCACACTATCAAAACCAGACTTCCGGTGGCCTCAGGTCCTGGCTCGCCATCGGTGGGCTGCATGGATGTGAACACACAACCTGACTCTCAACTTCAGCTTCCCAGAATTCACAGAGAAAGAAGCTGATGCCGGCGCTGCCTTCTTCAGCAGCCCACGTTGCCCACGGACCCCAAAAGCAGTTTTGGGCATTGGGACCTTTTCACACAGTGAAAAAGAACAGGAACTATCAGCATATAATACTCCTAATTGCAGCTCCTAAAGCTTCTGTTTCAGTTCAACATGCAACATGTACCCACAGAAATCCTGCTCACAAACCACAGTGTTATTTTTACTGAGTCATAGCAACAAAGTTTCAGAAAAGCCATCTCCAGAGTGAAAGGAGCTAATGCAAGCAAATGAGAACTAGCTCAGCTCTTGGCATTCAACAAGCTCTCAAAAAAAGTTATTTATTATTCCAGACAAAGGTCCTAACACCAGCAGCGTCAGGACTCCTCCTAGGTACGGTGCCGTGGGGATACTGAGTCTGACACTGGTTCACCGGAGGAAGGAGGGCATTCGAGGCAGCACCTGCCAACCCCAGAGAGCATTTTCCTACCCAAACAAGGAGCCGCTCTGCTCAACATGTCCCTCAGCCAAAGCCTGGCACAGACCACCCACATCCCACACTACTTACAGTTGCTCAAGTCAGCAGCAAGCAGAGTTCAAACAAGGCCTTAGCCTACCCAGAACAGAGTCCAGCAGGGCCAGAGGGGCCAGGCTGGGAGAAGCGCTGCAGCACTGCCAGCCTCGCCGCCTGTCCCTCGGGCAGAGGCCAGTGGGACCGTGACTGCCGGGTTGCTCTGGCCCCTGGATGTGGATCCTCGTCCCCTATGCTGGTCTCACGGCTGGCTCATTCCTCAGGTCGCTTGAGCGGAACCTGCCTGTCTGATCCTTTTCTCCTCTGCACACGGAGGTCTTCCGTGAACCCGAGACCCACCCACGTCGGCAGGGGAAGGCGCCGTGGTGGGTCTGACTCTATGGGCCGAGGGGCTAATGTTAACGTCCATGTGACTCATTTCATTTTCAGGAGAGCTCCAGAGGGTGGCCGCTGTCAGAAGCCCATACTCACTGATGAAAAGTGAAGCAAAGAGGTAAACACAGGGCCCCTGGGGGACAGCGGTACGGCTCTCCAGCCCCAGGAGCGTCCCGCTGCACCTGCCAGGCCTCAGGCAGGGTCCGGTCTCCTCGGTTTGTTTCTTCAGTGTGCGCAGTGGGGCAGCAACTGCTGCTGTCAGCAGGGAATGCGAAGTGTACCGCCAGCACACAGCACGGGCCCAGGAAACATCGGCTTCACTTGGGCCATGAAGAAAACGAGGGCCCTGGGTGTGGCTGAGCAACTGGGACCCCAGGAAAGCCTTCTGGTTGGGATGTCCACTCAGTCTGGAGCAGGGAAGGAAAGGAGCTGGCCCCTCAGCTCCATGACGGTGTGTGACTGCACGCGACGCAAGGGCGACTCTCCGCCGGCCCAGGCACCCCCTTCACTCACTCCCTTCTGCATGTCACATATGGTCCCCTCCCTGCACGTGTCCATGGGGCCCCTACCCGGGGCTGGGGCGCAATGGAAGGAGATGGTCTCCTCAGACTCCAAGGGAAGCTGTGGAGGCTGTCGCCACCCCTAGAAGGGACCCTCCAACAATGGGAGACTTACCGAAGAATGCCCAGGGGATCCAGAGCCTCCTCCTCCTCCTCCTCCTCTTCTTCCTCCAAGGACTTCTCTCCAGACTCACTTTTCTGGCCCAGGACAGGCAGACCCACACTGGCCACATGGTCCTGCTGCTCGAAGAAGTTGAAAGCCTCCTCACTGTCCCCTGCCTGGCCTCCTGTGTCATCTGAGGCAGAGGAGTCCCTGCTGGGGAGACCTGTAGCCCCTGGGGATCTGGTGCCTGTGGAAGACAGGGAAGAGGAGCTTCAAACTCAGCCCTCGGTGGTGCCAAGACCTGTGGCTGAGGGCTTCCTGCAGCTGCCCAGGACCAGCCTCCGCAGGAACCCAAACAGTGGGTCCGGGCAGCATGGGTGACTGCGCTGGGTGCCAGGGATGCCTGGCAAGGTACAGTCACCAGGAGTTTGAGGGAGGCTAACGCCCTGGCTCCATGGGGAAGGCCTGGCCCACAGCCGCCGGGCTGCCAGCTCTGGCCTGACTGGAACGGCAGCAGCTGGGGTGGAGGTGCAAGGGGCTCTGCCGAGCCAGCGACGGTCAGAGACCTGCTCCACACCCCGAGCAGACTGCAGCAAGAGCACTGTGCCGTGTGGAAGATTCTGGAACAAACTGCACTCGCCCATTCTCTAAGTGCATCCCCCACACGGGTGCCCCTCACAGGCAGCACAGGCAGGGAGAGCGAGTGTCCGGAAACTCCCGCTGCAGCCTGGCGTCACCGACACAGCTGAGCCGAGGGATCTTCCAATGTACCAGCCTGTGACGGGCAGGAGCGGAGAGCGGCTCTTCCCCCACAGACAGTTTGGGAAGCGTGGGTTTGGACCACTTGTTCGTCTCTCTCCAAACAAAGATTGGGTGGTTTATCTTTCAAAGCATCCACTTTTTAAAAATATCACTCAATAGGTGAAAAAGGAAGTGTTTTTAACTCTCAAGGGATGTTCTGAGTGGTGATGATTGCACTGTGTTATGTTCTGTTCTTTTATTCGAAGGTGAAAATGCTGTTCAAATTCTCACGACCGCTGGCTTTATGTGACAAGCATCTCACATCTCACGCAAAACCCTGTGAGGAAGGGAACTGTGCCTCCGCTTAGCGGGCGAGCAGACGGGCCCAATGGCTGAAGCCGAGCCACCCTGCCGCACCTCTGCCCAGCAGACCGGCCAGGGCACCCGGGTACTCTGCCAGTGGGGCCGCCCCTTGTCAGTGAGCAGCCCCTGGGATGGCGGGGCAGCCAGGGCTGTGGCCGGGAGTGAAAGGGGCAGCAGACCACTCATGGGGCTGAGAGTGGGCCGAGGAAGCCCTGGCTCTGCGACCTCGTCCTGTCCCAGCCCCTCTGAGCATCTGCCCGTCTCACCTCATCCCAAGCCTCACTGTTTAAGAGCTTATTTGCTATCAACATTCTTTTGGAAATTTCCCTTCTGTTCCATGGAACCAGGGGATCCACAGTAGTCAGAAAAGAGTTAAGTGACAGCCCTGAACAGGGAAGACGTCAGGCGAGAGACTGATACCACCCATGGGGACACCGGGGACACGGCCCGCTTGGGTGGGGTGGGAGCTGACGGCGGGGCGGTTGTTAGTGCCATTTCCAGTGTGGCCCGGGCTGTCAGCAGTCACTTCAGGTGCCTTCCCTTGGCAAGGAGAAGACTGAGGGGCTGGACACTGCCTGGGAGGGCGTGAGGTGGGTTCCACACAGGAGGCGGGCACTGCAACGCACCCACAGTCCTTTCTGTGCAGAACAAGGCCAAGAATGAGGTTTCCCAGAGCCAGGGTCACCAGCCTGGTGTGGAAGTAGTGCTATTCCTGATGTCACAGGCCACAGGGGCTGCGTGTGTACATGTGTGTGTGTGCACGTGTGGGAGGGAGAGAAGAACAGAGGGTACTGGGGGGTGGGCCCAGAAAGTCCTGGAGGACACCCCTTGTGAGCCCATCTGGCACCCTGAGTCAGTCCTTCGGAGGATGCACCCCCCCTCAAGGGCTGAGTCTCACCCACACCCGCCCCGGTGCTGCGGGGGCTCTGCCTGAGCAGCCTGGGTGGAACTTGGGCTGCAGGTGCAGCTGGTGGCAAACTCTCCCCAAGCCAGGGCAGTCGGGCCTGGTTCTGGGCCGGGAGCCTCAGGGACCAGGGACAGGGCCTCGAGTACCTAGGAACTCTAGCAGCTCTGGGCTGCCCGCCAGCTGGACGTCCTTGGCAACACAGCGCAGAATCTCACTGAACATGGCTCTCCTTTCCCGGATGTCAGACTCGCCGACAAATAGGACCTTCCTGGGCAGCGGGGGCAGGCTGGCTGCTGCGTAGCGACTGCTCAGTTTCTGGTACAACTCCTCTATCTCGCTGTACTTTTTGGAGACCTGGAACGAGAGGAACATGTGGCTTCCTGAGATGGGTGGGCACCTGGATGTGGAGCCCCTCGCCCCAGCACACGCTGCCTGCTGCCTCCCTGCTGTGGCAGCCTGAGGCCCAGCCAGTGTCTCAGGGCCTGGTGAGGACGGTCAGTATGGGACCCGCCTGGCCTGCAGGTGACCCCGATGCCACTGCTCCGGCGCTCCTGGCGTCAGCAGGGGGCTCACTGTGCCCGTGCTGTCAGGTCAGTTTCAAGCCACTCTGTGAGTCACTGGGTCAGCACTGACCCCAGTCGCTCATCGCTCAGGCAGCCACAGTGCGCTTGCTCCCCAACTCTGCTCGGCTGTGTACTCCGCTGGGGGGCCCCCCGGGCACCTGAGGCGAGCACCACGGCACAGCGGCTGCGGTGCTGTCACTGTGGTCTGCACGGTCGGTCACCCAGCTGCCCGGCTCCCCACGGGTGTCCATCTGTGGGAGCGCGGGGGTGGGGGGAAGGTGTGGTCGACCCACATCAGCCCTGAGCATGTGGGGTGTGGCTGTGACCCGAGTGGCATCAGGTCACCAGCACCCCCCAGAAGGTCAGGGGTTCAGACCCCCGCAGACAGGGAGGCACCCGGCACAGAGCTGCTGTCTGCAGTTGTTGGTGCCCAACATGACTGCAGGGCTCGGCTGAGAATGGCTTCCTGGGAAGGCCCTGACAGGGGCTAAGGGAGGACCAGATTCTGGCCAGGCAGGCAGAGCAGGCCGTGGTGGGAGCCGAGCGCCCCCTGTTGGCAGGTTGGCTCCCTGAGAGCCCCGCCCACAGACCACTGACTAGGAGCGGCAGAGCCAGCCTGAGGCCCTGCACCCAAGAGCATGGGCCAGGGCGTCTCAGGCAGCTTTCTCCTGTACCAGCAGCATGAGGAAACCGAGGAGAGACCAAGCACCGCAGCATCCCCTGTGCCAAGCAGCGGGCACAGTACACCTGCCCCATTCCTCTGATGTGCTCATGCCTGCAGCCCGGTACACAGGGTCCCCTGGTATCCACGAACGCAGCGCCCCTCCTGGGCTGGCTTTCCTGCACGGGCAGCACTGTTCGGTGACTCCTGAGTGTCAGTTTGTTTGAAGGGCCCCTGGGAGACTAGTGAGGCACACTCCCGGGGTGTCTGGGTGGTCACGGGGCTGAGCCCGTGCGCGTATAACTGGTCCCTGGCCCTTGCTCTCTAGCCCTCCCCTGTGCTGCCTCCTCACTGCCACATGTGAGCACCTCTCCTCTGCCAGGCCCTCCTCCACGATGCCCCTGCCTTGAAGCCAGCCGATCACAGACGGAGCCCTCCGCCGCTGTGGGCCAAGGTAGAGCGCGCCTCTTCCAGCTGCTGGTCCCAGCACAACCTCGCTGATACAGCAGGGAAGCACATGTTCATGATTTTCTTTAAAGCATCTTTTTAAGGAGAAGACGCAAAATGTTCCTTCTTTTAGCTAAATCATGAAACGCCAAAGAGACTTCAGGTTTGGTGTACGCAGCTGTGGGCAACACCTCCAGATCTCACAGGACTAAACACCTTCTCTTCTGCCCTTGCAGGAGCTTCAGATGTCTGTGAAGCACCCACATGTGGACACACACACACACACACACACACACGTACACGCCTGCATGCCACAGGGCACGCGCATCACCAGTGAGGCCAGAGCAGCACAGGTGTGGCTGTGGAGCCGTTACAGACGTCCTCGCACGTGGCCCCTGCCAGGCTGCCCGTGCCAGGATGAGTTGGGCTCCCAGACAGCTGCCCCACCTCGCACCCAGGAGTATTAGCCCCAAATCGTCTCCTTTTCTGCCCACCCTGAAGACCTGTCTTAGTCTCGTTCCTCGTTGCTGGGACAAAATGCCTGACACCTGCAGCTTACAGGATGAGAGGTTTATTTGGGCTCTTGTTTCCGTCCTTGCATGGTGAGCAGCATGGCACCAGGGCTCAGGCCGAGGAGAGCTGCTCACTGTGAGGCAGCCAGGAAAAGGTGAGAAGAGGAACCGGGGAGGGAGAGCTACTCTCCCAGCCAGGTGCACCTCCTAACAGCCACTCCGCTGTAACACACCCCATGATTCAGTCCCATCCAAAAGCCCCGCCTCTGTGTGCCCAGGCTCTTGGGGGACACCTAGATGTAAACCACAGTGTGGGTGCACTGAGCCCTATCCTGGCTCAGACGAGTTCATCAGGAGGTGAGGCCACGCAGCCCCGAAAACACCAGCTCACACCCCACCTGCCTCTCACCGAGAGAGTAACTGAGGTGTGGTCTGAGGAGAACACATCGCTGCAGTCTTAGGTCCTTTTCTGGACACTGCCCAATGCCCTACAAAGGGAGGCTGCGCCTGGGAACCACGTCTCATTTAACAGGTCATCAAAATGGCAATTCACTTCCCCGTTCCTGTGGCTGCCGGGAGGGAGGCTCAAAACCACTGTACGGAAGCCTGCAGCGAGCTGCTCCCTGCTGTCCACAGGGCCCCGGCTTTCTTCCCTTAGCCTGAAGTCCCCAGCTGTCTTCCTGACCACCAGGCCCAGGCCCTGTTCACAAGAGGCTGAGGTGAACGCGTGTGAGTGATCTCACCCCTTGGACCCTGCTCATCCCGGCTCCCGTGACTCCAAGGGCCCAGTGCTCTTCCTCCTGCTTTGCTGCAGCCTCCTTCCCACCTGCTCTGCCAGTGGGTGCACCAGGACCCCTCCTCAGCCTTCTGTGCCTCCACATCTGTGCTCTATACAAATTCATTCACCCCCAGATTTTAACGTCACCTCCAAGCCAAGATCCCCAAAGCCTGCACGTTAGGCCTGACCAGTCCCTAGCGTGGGCCTGCTGTGCCCACCCACCGGGCAGACCCTTGTCCCTCAGCACGCCCCGTAGATCTGCCTCTCCACTTGTACCAACAGGGAGCGCTGCTGGCTTGGCCCACGCCCCCAGCCCGGCACACCTGACCTGCCGCCGCCTGCATCTCCCCTCCTCAGGACCCCATTCATGCTGAGTCCCCACACGGCCTCTGCCACCAGCCTCAGGCTGCGTGCCCTGCCCGGGACAGCCCTGTGAACACCACCTCGTGCGGGCTTTGCCCAGGGAGGGTGAGCTCTGGCCACTGCCTGCATCTCCCTCTGCGCCTCCACACGTCTGTCTCCCTGCGGGTTGTGGGCACCGGGCTCACTCTCGTGTCCCCATCCCCTGCCATGGGGTGGCTCCAGAACAGTCGTGTCTGTGCCCTGGAAGGCGGGCGGGTCCTGGGGACCCTCGGGGCACCCCGCTGAAGCACCCTGCTCACCAAGAACTGCACAGCATCCTCGGGCTTGTGCTTGGCGGACTTGAACGCAGCGAGCCGGGTCACCACCAGGATCTGGTACTCTACGTGGCCGGACAGCATCTTGCCCCGCACTTCCTGGTGCTGGGGCACGGACAGGTCGAGGCCCGTGTGGACATTCTGGAGCTGCCTGCCGAGGGAAGAGGGCAGACAAGGTCCAGCTTGAGTCAGCATGTCCTGACGCGGGAAACACCTGGTGGCTTGGGGCCACTGCACGGGCCTTCCCTCCACACACCGGCCCCCACACAGCCTGGTGTCCTGCAGCTGCTCGGGACAAGCGGGGTCGGAGCAGGAAACAGAAGCATGGGGTAGTCAGAAATCAGGCAGCCGAGTTTTGCACAAGCCTGGTGCGTGTGAGCACTGCAGAGCTTGTGGGCAGCACTGTGTCCTGCAGGCTGCACAGAGACCAAGGGAGGGGTAGGGCCTGCAGACACCGCGGGACCGAGGACAGACACACACCTCAGCCAGCCAGGCGCAGGCCAGCACAGCAGCAGGAAGAGGGGCATCAGTGCCTCTTCGCAGGGCTGTGCAGACAGGCAGTGTATCAGCCGGGCCGCACCGGCTCTGCTCAGCTCCAGAGGACTCAGGTCCTGGCAGCTCTTCGGGCCAGGCTGGGCTTCGCCAGTGCAGGCTGCACCAGCCTCGGCCCTCTCTGCAGCTCCAGCCACAGCCCAGGCCGTCCGCGTGGGCCCCAGCATGCCTGCAGGTTCTGCACACCCCACACCAGGCTCTGTCCACACCAGGACTGGAAAGTCAGTGCCTTCAGTGTTCATCCATCTGATGTGAGGAAAGCGAAGGAGTACTCAGAACCTGCTCTGGATCAGGCCCTTCTAGTGTTTTATGAACATTACCTCTTTCAATCCTTCCCACAACTTTTCTCAATGGATATTTTTCATCTCAATTTATACATGGAGAAATTGAATATCAGAGAAATTAAGTTTTTGCCCAGAATCACATAGTTAGGAAGATTTACTATCAGAATCTGGCCTGCACTATTCACACTCCACCACCCTCCTGGGTGTGGGCAGTGCCCTCGGGAAGCTCGGCTGGTCTGCGGCTCACGCTGAACGAGGAGCCACCTTCCGCTCCCGCCAGCACCCTCGCCGAGCCTGGGCAGGGACAGCCCGCGATCGGGTCACACACAGTGCTTCTGTCACCCTCATGACACTTCTGGCTCCTTCCCGAGACCTATCAAGGGTCCCGTTTCCAGAGCCGCGCACCACACACAAAGGCCCAACGGAGTGGGCTGCCAGGGTCCTGGGGTTCAGTACCAGACAGGCACACAGAGCCTAGGGGCCCCTGGGGGAGGGGGGCAGAGAAACGAGGCACTGTCTTTCCTTTCCGTTTTTCTTTCTTTCTCTTCCTTCCTCCTCCTTCCTTTGCACTGAGGGTCGAGCCCAGGCCCTTCACGCTAAGTAGCATGGTTTACACAGGGTCTGGCCAAGTCACCGTGTCACCACGCAGAGCTTCCTCTTGCCTCAGCCTCCCAGAGTGCTGGGATCTCAGGCCTGTGCCTCTACCTCCAGCTGAGGCACCTTTTCCGCAGGATCCTCATGAAAGTGACGTTGCCCGGACCACTTGAGCCCCAGGGCCCAGCTCCCCAGAGGAGTCCCATGTCCAGCTGCACCAGATGCTGTGTTGCAGGAACCACCGTGGCCTTCCCCGTCCCCTCACCGGGCTGATGTGACCAAGAAAGTCCATGTTCCCAGCCCTCGCCTCTGCCTGACAGCACTGTCAAGGGCCTGGTCCCATGCTCTCTGTAGGGGCCAGGCCAGGGCCACTCAGGTGCTGTGGCTGCTGTTCCTGGACCAGCGGCCTAGCAGGAGCCATGGAGCCCAGCACCCCCCAACCCCTGGTACCTGCTCTTCCCTGACGACCCTGCTGCTTATCTCTCGAGGAAGCGAAGCAACCGGAGCAGCCTGTGCTTCCCGGCACATCTGTCAACGAGGCGGCACCCAGCCTTGTGCCCTGGCCCTTGGGTGGCCGACTCCTGCAGCCAGCCCCTCACCTGCGCAGGTCCCCACTCCAAGGCCACCCACCCTGCCTCCTCCCATCTGACCCCACCTCCAGTGGAGCTAGGAAGAGTGGCCCGTCCGAGTCTCCTGTGACCCCCAAACCTCCACTGGACTCTTGTCCTCTTGATGTCACCGAGTGGCCCTTGGCAGGCGGGCACTCAGGACCTCCACGCTGACACCCAGAGGTCAATGCTCACATCCGCTGGCCCCACAGTGCCTTCTTCAGAGTCGCCTCTCTTCTGGGGTCGCGACTGCTCCCCATGTCCTTCCCCTTCCCACACCCCACACCTGACCACCAGCAAGCCCGAAAGTTCAGCCTCCAAACTCGCCCAGAACCTGCACACCCCTGCGCACAGCCTGGGGCCTGGGTACGGGCTTGTGGATGCCCGCTCATGCCCACAGAGCCCTCCACGCAGCCAGGGACCTCAGACAGCGGTCAGCTAGTGCAGCCACCGTGCCCCGGGTCCACCACACGCGGCAGGAAATCACAGGGCCACACAGTCTAGTCCTCCTGTCCCCCTGCCCGGGGCCACCTCCCCACTGTGCCACCTAACACGTTCCCGTCCTCCCTGGTGGCCTCAGGACGCCGGCTCCTGCTGGCTTTCTGCCCAGTAGTTTTCCAAGTCTCCTTTTCGTGGCTCTCTCCTTTGGGGAGAGCATGGACCGCCCGCCTGGCCAGCCCATCAGCACTGTGCTCCCTGGCCACCCCGGGAGAACAGCAACCCCTCCCGCTGCCCTGGCCCTGTTATCTGCCTTTCCCGGCAGTGTCCACACTGGCACCTTCTCAATTCACCTGCTGTCCACCGGCTGGGAAGCTCCTGCTCGGTGCCCCGTTTTGCTCACCTCTCCATCCCAGAACAACCCCCGCCCCACGATGAACAGGAGCAGGTCGACTGGAGGCCTGGACACAGGCGGAAAGGGCGGCTGGCAGGAACTCGAGGGGCCAGCAGGGAGGGAGGAGGGAGTCAGCCACCTGAGGACCGCCTGACAGGCCACGTGCAGGTCGGGCAGGTGCAGCCACGGCCGGGGGTCTGCAGGGCGGCCGAGGGGTGTCCACTGCCCGGTGCTCGCGCCTGAGAGCAAGCAGAGGCGACCAGGAACCTCTCCCAGCGACGCAGATCTGACCCTCTCTGCCAGCCCCGCGCGCAGAGTTAATTCTCTACGCCCAAAGCCCCAGAAACTCCCTGCAGTCGGAAGGCTGGCGATCGCGCCGGGCAGCAGCCTGTCCTCCCGCTGACCTGGCCCTCGGCCCAAGGCTGTGCCCACCGAGCAGAGCGGCAGGAGGGGTGTGGAGGAGAACACCGCGTCCCTCCCCGCGCCTCCAGGACCA